CCCCCCCCCCTCTAAGACTTACAAATAGACCCGAAGGCTTTCAATGAAAATCAGATAGGGGTCAAACACGAATCTAACAAAAACAGGAACTGCTGAAGTACGCCATCTTCTGCATGAAAGACGAGACGTAATTAATGCTCTAGATCCGTCAGTTCGCATTCTCTATTGTAAAATGAAAGACCAAAGTGCCGGAAACCGTCTTTGTTAAAGCGACACGTACGTGAGTTAAGGGCGCTATTCCTGACTCGAATGTTTATGTGTTAGGAAGCATTTTTTTTTTTTGACAACTTAAACCCTGCACACACGTAGCCGCTGTAATTTTACTTGTTATGTGCTAGACATTGTAAGTGCAGCCTTGATTTACGTCACAAGTGTGGCCTTGGCTTCCTTGGATGCACAGAAAATGAGTTTTCAGCCGCTATAGTCTTGTTTCATTAGTAAAGACAGTGGATGCTGCCGCTGGCGTGAGTTGGTATACCAAAATGCAACGCTGATAAAAGAAAAAACCTTAGGGCCCTTTTCTTTTAATGAAAATATCTAGAAAGGCCTTAACGTGTACGTGTCAAACAGAGATCTACGAAATTCGAATTCACGGATGGATGCTCTTACGCTCCTCAACCTGTAATGGACACTCAGGAGATCGTTGTAAACAATCAGCGTCGTAAACAAAGAAAGGAATTCATGAAAGGCCAAAAACGCACCATCATTTATTTTCGTAGAAGAAAGATGATTGAAAAATTCACGATTTATTTAACTCTTGGTTATGGCTCGCAGTAATAAAGTTTCTGTCGAAAATCATGAAATCAAATCGATTTTTACAGGAAATAAGAAAACTTAGGCAATTATCTTAAAACTCGAGTGCGCAACAAAAATCTCCCCTTTTTTCGTCCGACGATACCTTTGAAAACGAAATGCTTGTAAGAATAAACATGCATTATATTTAGACCCTTTTTTAAAACTAAAAGGTAGAGAAGGACACCAATCGTGATGATTTGTCTGACAAGCTGAAATAACGGAAGTCAAACACCAAGTAATAGAAAAAGGACGTGTTTTGGTGACATCAAATTTCGATATGCGTGATAATGGTTAAAGAGAAAGAAAGATCACCTTAAATTTGACGTACGCTTAAAAAGTGACATTTTAGAGGCGAAAATATTAGCATTTTCCATGAAATATTATCGAATTCCGTCCACTTCGTTCTCGAGTTTATTTCTCTTCTTTTTTTTTAACAATTTCAAGGGTGTGATTTGAATGTAATCTTTTATTTTTCATCCCTTTCGCTGCGACAAATTCTTGGAATGGAGTTCTTGAAAATTCCGCCTTTTCTTGTCTCACACTCTGAATTATAAAATGAATCAGAATAGGAATATGCAAAGGGACGTTCATTGTATCAGTAGCTCTTATTTTTCCACGTATTTTCCTTTCCAGGATTAAACCGTCTACTTGGATTTTCATTTTGACCATTGTATAACTACAGGGCTCGCACGAGTAGGTGCCACTATAAAACCTAAGAGTGCATGAAATCTGCACGGGGAAGGAAAAACTCCTTGCAAATAACTTCTTCCGAGCGTCAAAATGAACAAAAAGCAAAAACAAATGGAACGAAATGAATAATGCCCATTTATTCATTAAAGTTTCCTCAAGTGTTTTTCTACATCAAATTGGTTGCGGTCTCTCTCAGGACTTGACATACAAAGATTATACTGAATAAACCTACAGCTAGATCCTATCGTCTACCGACAACACGTCAAAACCTGATCCCTACATTTAAACAGAACTACAAGCAGAGCGAGGATTTCTGCAGAATATGTAGCAACAGAGCACCTGGCGTCAACTGAAAATCGGAAAATTCCGGCTATTTTGGCTAACAAACGCAATCTGCGGAAACACGAGAACAGAACAACCAGAAAAGCTAATTAGCGTTCATGTGTAATCTATCTAATACGCATACGAAAGTTAAATTTAGCTTCTATTCAACTAGTTCCCTATTTTAGGAAATATTCAAGCCTTTTAGGATTACAGTTAATTGCACTTAGGCATGAAATGATCGTGAGCACTGTTTTCAACTGCAACCACTACAAAAACACTTAAATTTAGTTTGACCTTTCTTCGATATGAGTCATGGATACTTCGAAAAGAAAAACCCTATAGAATGAATTTTCACCCCTACTCATTAAGCAGAAAGGTTTTTTTAAAAGACCGATCTGCCACAACACGTACGTACGGTTATAGGCCAAGGAAGTCAGTACTTCATGTAGTATGGTAATACATTCTCCTCTCTTGATGTTTCTGATGCGCAGTGAAGAAAGTAATAAAAAACTCGCTCCAGCCCCCTGTACGTACGCGGATGAGATCGTACTGTTCTGGGTTGCGTTGGGCGTTGGTAAATGTCTCAGGACTAGCACAGGTGACTATAAGGAAAATAACAACTGATTATCATAGTGTCCCCTCTACTGACAGCTCTCTGTTTGCCACAGGCCCACTGAGTTTTGCTTTTCTTTACAAAATATTCTATCTAAATCATTCCTGTCCTCCCCTTTACCATTGCGTATATGATACTGCAGAGCAACACTTTGGAATTGTGGGGATTCCCTTTGGATAAAGTTCTCCTGATTTCTGTTTGAGCCCCTCAGAATACTCAGCGATACTACACAACAAAACGTCTAATGAGAGGTTTATTATCCAACACGCCAAATTGTTATTTCAGTGCGGCCGAATTTCGGGGATATCTCTGAAGTACAAATATCGCGTGATATTTGCACTCGTCTCGCGCGTTATTTGTACTCTACGAAGCACATTTGGATAATGAAACAAGATAATTCTGGTTTTAATTTATCAACTAAGTTGATAATATGAATTGGCTATCGTAAAGGATTTCAAAATGAAGCTGACGTTTCGAGCGTTAGCCCTTAATTTCGTCATAGCAAATAGGAGAAATGTGGGTGGTGTGTGTGTGTTTATATACAGAATACGGAGCTAGGCTATTGGCGGGAACATGGTAACGAGAAAAACAAGAATAAATTAGTTGAATGAAAAGTGTTCATCGATACTGCGGGGAGACTTAGACTCTAGAACAAAATTAGTGCAATTGTACTTTGCTTATACAACTGAATGACAAGAGCTATAACTGAAACCAGCAGTGACATTTTTTACCCGTGCTTTTCCGCGTTTCGGACAGTGGGCTCATTTTTACTTTGACTACAGTCCCCTTGTTTCCCTTGTCCCCTCCGTTCCGATTGACCGTTACTAGCAAGCCAAATGAGAAGGTCTTTCAAAAAGAACGCTCTTACGTTAGTACTGACTTATTTTGTTTATTCAACATCTGTATACACTTGGAGAGCGTGTTAAAATGCAGTCGTATTGTTTAGCATGAGTCACCTGTCATAATGTTTCCTCCAATACCCTTTAGGTCGGCGTAATTCCTTAAGAATTCAACCAAGTCACTCTCTTTGAAGTCCTCCATAATCTTGAAACTGATCTCTGCACCGTTTGCAAAGCCAACGTTGATGGAGGGCATATCCCAGCTTTTAAGGGATCTAAGGTCAAGTGAAACGAAAACTGTGTAATTAAAGTAAGATCGTGCGCAGATAAAGCCAAGACAAAACATAGAAGAATGAGAACTTGTTTTACTCCTACAAGGTATTTTTTTTTTTTTGTCATTTAACTTTTTCAGTTGCCAATCTCGTTCTAGAACGCAAAAGAGGAACAACATCAAATGGCGAACAATTCATTCAGTGCCTTGGAATGGAATGAAAATTACGATGCGTGAGGCGAGTTTTACTCTACTTATTATAAGTGAGTGTGTATGCAGAATTATTTTGCGACTTACTTGTAGACATCAAAGCTCTTTGGTATTGGTGGCTTATCCTGAGGCGAAGGAGCAGCACCGAAATCTGAGGCTATGGGTGAGCCCGAACGCCGACCGTCAGCGGAAGCTCCACATCCTGCTCCCCAGCCAACATATCCTTCAAATGTCCCTGATCCTGTGGGCAGTAGAACATCCCATGGTGCCCCGGGTACCGAGTACTTTTTCTTTAGGCCATCGATCAACTCGACAAGTGGTTGATGAGCTTCTGGACCAGCGCGGGACACTTTATTTACAACAGTTGAAACTTGGTCTGCAAGCCAACTACAAAAATGAAACGGTGTTAAGAAGAAAAAATGGTATCAAGTGAGGTCAACTTGTCTAATCCTAGAACAATACTGCGACATGAAGCTTTATTTTGGCCAATCTAGACATTTTTCCTAGTATATAGGTCACCTCATGACGAGTTCTTATTAACTCGAAGAGTTATTGCTCTGAATTCTCATTGGTGACATTTTTAGCATACTCTTATTTTGATAAAAAAAAAATCGAGCGAAGCATTAACCAAGGTTAAAATGGCTAACAGTCCATCGCGATGAGCTTCGTCAACTAAGAAAACGATATAAGATTTTATTCTTGTCATGTCACCACCGCAAAGCAATGATAAACCAAAGGCAAAATAAGGGAAGAATAAACTGTTCGTAGAGACATCAGGATACAATTCACCTGGTAATTTCCTGGATGTCTTTGTTTTCCGCGCCGGCACTGGTTCCAAACTTGGGCAGGTTAATGGCTGCTTCGCGTACTGCCTTGTAAGTGTCAGACAGCCGCTGGCCACGAGTGGTGCCAGCAATCTCGTCATGGAAGGGTTCTTGCATGTTGTATCCCCAATCACACTTGAGGCACCGAACTAACTCGGCCAAGGAAATTAGAGCGGAGTCGTGATCAAAACAAAGCCTTTTGATGGCGTACAGAGCGTCAACAGTGTTGGAAAAAGAGATGAACTGCACTCCAATTAGCGTGTGATTAGCACCACCGTTGTAAATGTCCCTCTTTGTCTCCACGCAACCTCGGATGAGGGTAGATAGCAGAGGGCTCGGAGAGTACTGCACAATGTTATCGTAGTTGAGCAGCAGGAAGAAGAGGGAGTACCCTGTACGTACATTGAGGTGCTTGGCAAAGATCTCCTTGACCTAAAGAGAAGTGAGAAACACTTTTAAGCGAAAAAAAATTATTTTTTTAGCACAGATATACTTATCTCAATTGAATTATAAATTCTCTAAAACGGTGACCGAAATCGGAAGTTTAAAGTAACGAATATTTATCCCAAAGCAGGCATATTATGGTCCAAAAAGTGCCTGTTGAAGAAATCTCCACAATTTCTTTATTGGCCCGAGGGAAGAAGGGTTGTGTTTGTTTATTGCTAAAGAAGTTGGATTGATGGTTATTGAACTTGTGAAATTCTGCCTTAGCGTTCACTCTCAAATCGAGCGTGTGAAACAGCTATAGAAATTTATGGTGAGGAGAACAATAATCTCCCCTTCCCCCTCCCCTCTACAAGAAGAGCAAAACGAAAGGGGATATCAGGAAAGACCTTATCAAAACTTGTAATCTCCTCCGCACGTTCTGTGGGCAAAGACTGTGGTACACCCTCAAGATACATGGGTCCAGCGAGTGAGTACGTAGAGCCGTGGTTGATTGTCATTTCAAGTACTTGCAGCAGTGGCACATAGGCCAGAGAGAAGTCTGTTTCTCCTGGAAATATTGGCTCGTAGCAACCGTCACAGCAGTAATTTCGTGCGCTTTTTAGGCTCACTGGTACGTCTATAGTGTCTCCAGCTTCTTTAAGGCCCTGTACAAGGTGTTCATCTTGGAGCAAAACTGGATGGGCTCCACCACTGAGTATCACTTTTGCGGCCTCTTCGAGAACCTGATATTGAAAATATTTTCTTAAATTATACAAATGACGACTTTCTCTTTTTTTTCCACTGGAAGAATACTGAAGTAAGGTATGTCTCAGTTACAGCCCCTTTCTTTAGTCTCTTACCCCTGACCAAGGTGGTTTGTTGCTGAATAACGACAAGATAGGAGAGGAGATTTTGCTATACATACCTTTTGTGGTGTATTTCTATGTACTCGAAGGGACAAACACGGGGCATTGAGTGGAAGCCTGCGCGAGGCTTTCAGGCACATAATGGTCACGTCGTTGCAACCACATTCTGGTTCTACTGCTTCATTCGCTTTGTATCCACCAACAGTGATCTAAAAAGCAAGAGTAGCAAATAATAGAAATGAAAGTTTTACGACAACTCTCCCCCACCCCTCTAAAAAAGGTACTTGCAGTTTTGTAGCTGGAAAGTCGAAGGAGACTGGAGAACTACAGGTCTTATGCACACGAGACGAGTGCGTAAAGTTAGGGGGAAAAAACCACAAAAACAATTCGGACGAAATGAAAAAATTTTCATTTATTCACTCGAGTGCTTTTCACATCAAATGGGTTGCTGTCTCTTTCTGAACTTGACATACAAGGATTATACTAAGTAAACCTCCAGCTATATCCTATTGACTACTGACAGTAGGATAATTTGTAGCTTAAAAGTCGAGGCGGAGTTAAGGCATCCAGTATGAACTGATTTTGTAAATATTCTCCTCCTCCTTTTTTTGTTTTGCAGACGAGTGCATAAAGTAAAGTTAATTGGGTATGTCTTTAAGTAACAACTATGGAAGTACGGTAGATGGATCTTAAGGTGTACGACGTCAAGCAGAGATGTAAGAATTCAGATAGTAGGATAGTTTGGTAGGTAGGCAGGAAGCAAACATCACGAGGTTTGAAGAGATTATGCTGGAACGATGAATAGTTAGGAACGGGAAAGGCTGGAAATGTGGTGTCCTTATAAAACGTAACCCGCCTAAGGAAAAGGGTACTGAAATACTACAGTCCTCAACTAACCTGCTGCACCCATTGGTTAATGGTGTCACCGTTTGGAAAAAACCCTGTGGAAGCGTAGGGAACTGCTGTCATACCCCAGGTATTTATATCATTTAACAAACGTGAGTTGATGTGAGCATGTTCGCAGAGCTTGACAAACAGGCAGTCAATGATTTCCTGGGCGTCTTCAGCAGATGTTCCACGCAGGAACGGCAGTAGGATCTGATCCAGACGTCCGATAGATGTTGGTTCCCCAGTGAGGTGCAAACAGCAGTGATATGAATATAACAGCTGAACAGCTTCAACGAACGTCTCTGGACGGTCGGTTGACATTTTCTTCATTCTTGCCTCTATCTGTTCAAGGGAGATTACATCCTTTGCTTTAAACTTGAGTATATTTCGCAAAATAGTCAATGATGCTTTCATAATGGTTACTGTCTACTGAAAACTTAAAAAAATATTTCACCAAAGGCAGCTTTCACTTCGATAGTAGCTCGAGACAGTTAATCTTACATGATTCTGAAAATCCACAGCATTAAAAATGAATGACATTCTTTAGGCATTACATGAACTCAAGTCTCATGGAAGGACTAAGCTTTTGGGAATTCTCAGATCGCATTGAAGTTTACTTGATACTAGTTCTACAGAAAAGCTTGTAGGCTTGGTAAGGTTTGGATAAAGCAGCCACTTCGTGCCACATGGATCCCTGACTTAAGGCTCTTGACCCCGGTATTTCAATAATTCTTCGAATCTTACCTGCTTTAAGTTTTGTTTCTGAGCCTCAGATATCGCAAAGCCACTGTTTTCAGCAAGGTGACCCGCCAAAAATCCGAAGTTCTTCATGTACTTCTGCATCCCTTTCAAAGCCAGAACGCAGGAAGTTACAAAGTCTTGCTCCTCCACTGTTTCTCCTTTGTCGGCTTTCAGTTCCTCTATCATTTTCCCTAGGCCTTTCTGTACCAGCACCTCGTAATCAGGAACCACGTGTCCCATTCCAGCCGCCTCACTCAGACCCTTGTAGAAAGCTGGAATCACTTCGCTTTCATGGAGGTAAGGCATCACCGCCTTGCCAAGCCCAAGGGAGAAACATTTGGGCATCCTTCCCACTATGATCTCGTCTGGATGAAGGTTAAAGAAGTCGGCTTTGCAACCGAAGAATGGCTCCTTTGCACCACGCAGCTTGTGCACTTTGTTTGTAGTAAACAACCTTCCCAATGATATCTTAACAGCCCATCCTTTCCGTATCATGATGGAAGCATCTTTCACAACGCTCAGCTTTTTGGGTTTTAACATCGTGAAAAGGTGAGGAATTTTAGGCATCTCTCGGCGTCTGAACCATTGATCGTTCCACTGCTGAAAGGCGTAGTCTACCAGACCTAGGACTCGGTTGCTTGGAGGGTCTCCAGGAAGGTATCCTCCAGTTGTCATACGGTGGAGATATTCTCTCTGATTGTAAAACAAGTAGTCGTTTGATGGGCTTCGTATGTTCCAAAAATCTAAGATTTCAAATCTGCAAAACGGCAATATATTCTGTGAAACTGAAGTACTCTCTGATTCCCTTTAAAAAATAAAGAATCCATTACTCAAATTCTTTTCTTTTCCTTTTTTTTTTTTACTTCGCACTCTCATTACTCAGCATCTCCAAAAAGGGTGAAGCATAAACGAATTTAAGTACAACTGTTAAGGGTTTTCCATTTTGTAGGCGAAGAGGAGGAAATTATAATCTCAAGTTATATCACGGAAGTATGCTTGTAACAGTAAGCTTGTCATGGATAGTATTCGTTCAGCTATGACAAAAAATAGGCCAAAGATAGTCCATGAAAGATCTTTGAAGCTGTATCAGCTTACTAAAGTTTGAATATGAAACGACAGCTGTCTTACCTTCGTTCCGTAAGAGTGGATAGTTTCAACTCTTCTGCGCTTGGCACATAATAGAAGCTTCCCTGTATTGGCCGGACTGCGCTGATCAAGCTGTCAACAGTTACGTCACCTTGCTTAGAGTGCTTGTCATCACCAGCGATGCTTTTCAGAATAGTCTTGAACACCTCTGTAGTGTTACACAAGTGCAAATACATCAACCCTTCTTCTTGGCTTGGATGGTCTGCTCGACCATAGGGCATTGAAACGCGAAAAATGCGTTTATGCCTCAAAAGACCATTTACTGGTGGAATGTCGAGTTCCACGTGCACGCGCGAGATGTGAGCACGTTTGTCCGTGTGAGGAATGAAGGTGTCTGTGCCAGATTTCCTCCCGATCATGTCTTCTTTTTGAATCTGTCAAGGTGTAAACATTTAAATGTTAAAACATAATTCATGAGTCTGCACCTCACACAGCAAAGCTTAATCCTTAAATTTCCAATATTGTGTTTAGGTATCGTCCGTGCTCCTTGTCCGGCGTCCCACATAAAAATATAATTATGCTTTCAAACTATTTTTTATTACGAAACTGATTCCTAAGTGACTTTTGTTATAAATAGAAATAATGTTGCGTTAAAGGCTAACAAGGGCAAGGGTAACGAATTTCTTCTTACTTGTTGCTATTCAAGAACTTGTAATAGCGAAGACAATTATGTAATATTTTGTTGTTGTCGCATGACGTATGCGACCAGCTGGTGACACCCTTGGATAATAATCTTGTCCGTAATTAATAGTCATTGTATAGTTATATAGTTCGGTGGCAGAGTGTTTTCAAGAACCGAAAGGAAGGATCTCGAGATTAGCTTAGTATATTTTTTGCTGTTTCGTCCGACCAACTGCCAGAAAAGATTGACAATAGATAGCAAGAAGAGCTCGGTTCTCTACCTTGTCCATGTTTCCAAGGACCGTCCAGTTGAACTCAAACTTCTGCGCCAGAAGGTAGCATGATCCAGGATAACCTGACAACGCTCCTTCATTCTTCACAATGTAATTCTTGATGCTCTCTGCGTCACAGGGATTTGCCACTCCATCAGTAAAGGAATTTTGAAGGATCCGCTGAGGAAAATAATAAAAGACACGAAAATGTCACAAGGGTATTAGGATCCATTATTGTCTCAAATGAGATGCCTTGCACAGGAGTTATGGTTCCTCAATTTTTTACCACAGATTTTAAACAAAAGGTCTTCTTGAGATTTTTCCTAATTTACTAAAAATTAGATGTACCATCTGCGACCTCGTTTGAGGGAGTGCAGGTGAGAGGGGGTGGGGTGGGAGGGAGTGCGGGTGAGGGGGGTGGGGTGGAAGGGAGTGCGGGTTTTTTAAAGTGGCATCTCGGTGTTGTTATAGATTCCAGGAGGGGGAAAGACGATATTAAAGAAAAGGGATACACAAAGTATAGGGGAAGCCTCTGAGAGGAATTAAATTCGTATAGTATACCCAAATGAAACTATGAATTCAGGAGAAATGGCTGCCATTCTGCTTTTATGAACGATGCCATCGGTTTAAAAACATAAATTCATGATCCTTTTGGGCAGTTTTTGGCCAGTATGCGAATTAGTAAGAAAATCTCGTTGCGTTTTAGTTTCCTTTGCGAACCAGCCTTGAATTGCCTGACCACCTTACCTTTAATATGATTATATTCTTTTTTTTCGTCAACAGATTTCTTACCTTACTTGGGGGCTGAGAGTGCGTCACATCCAACTTGTCGCAATAGGTCTGCATATTATTTTCAACACGCTGAAGAACTTTCTCCAATTCCCCCGCAAAGTTTGATTTAAGCAAAAAGAACACATCTCCTCCTGTGTCCACGAATTTCTGCGAGTCAGGAACAAGCTTCTTACCCGGGGGACGTTCATCAAGGTTTGCCAGTTTGGGGTCATCTTTATACCACTCTCTCCACTGGTCTGGGTCAAACGCAACAATTGCCCTGGTACGTGACTCTGAAAATCGAAACGATAAATAAAGTAGAGTTGATAAGTAACACGGCATGATCTACCCTCTCCATCTGCATAACTGCTCATATATGACCAACCAATTTTATATATCAAAAGACATTGATTTGAAAAGAAAATAGAAAAAAAAGTTATCCTGATGAGTGTTTCAGAATTAATTGATTGAAAACAACCTCCGTACCGTTAAACGTTCTTACCGTTTTCTTTTTCTTTCTCCAGTGTCAGAGCGTAGGTGATGACGTCACGTGCTGCATCCAAAATTCCCTCCCGAACGGTGTGGTCATTAACAGAAAGATTTTTCTTGTAGAAGGCAGTGACAAAGATTCCATATTTTGGTTTGCTGATCAGCAAGCCACGCTGAGCCTTGTGAAGGAGTTTGTCTTCAAATAGCGCCTACACCAGGCAAAGAAATTTAAAAGAAAATTGCTTTAGACGAACACGGCACTTTCAAAAAATTGCCCATGAACTGGAATCCCTCTTTTCGGAATCTCTTTTCGCTGGCTAAGGGAAAACATGGGGAAAATTTTGGTTTCCGCCTAAAAAAAATTTGTTTTATGACAATCATTGTATTTATTTTTTTTTTATTTTAGGGGCTAATGAAGAGTGCTATTTCATTTTCTCTCTCCAGACGTTTTGTGCTCTCTCCAACAGTTCTTGGGTTTTTCTTGAGCCTACTGATTGGAGATGAAATGACTAAATTACAAAGGAGAAGCAATGAAAGGATGTTACCTGCACACTCATCCCAATTTCTTGTTTCCTGCAAACTAAGGAAAAGTAAGATAGTACTCGAGGTCTCATCGGTCATTTCTAATGAGAGTATGTAAACAAGTTTATAACTTTTTTGATTCGATCAGTTTGGCACCGTTCGCTCTTGCATTATTGTTTCATCCTTTGTATTTTTAACTATTCATGTGTCTCTAAGTGATTCTTTCCACATCTATTAATATTCATGTGAATTTTTTTAACCCCACTTTCATCCTGCATAAATTTTGGAAAGTTATTATTTTTGCGGTCTTTCCTTACACTTAGGTAGCACGGAAAGCCGTAAATAGCTTGAACAAAAGCTCATCTTTCAAACCGGTATTCTAAATCCCACAAGGATCAACGAACGCTTTTCATTCCACTAATTTATTCTTGTTTTTCTCGTTGCCATGTTCCCACCAATAACGTAGCTCCATTCTCTGCCTTTAAAAGCACACACAACCCACAATTCCTCTATTCGCTCCGACGAAGGGCTAAAGCTCGAAACGTCAGCTTTTGTAATCGTTACGGTGGCCAATTTACCACTTCAACTTTGTTGATATATCGAAATTATATTATTTTTCTCGTCAAGTTGTTCAGGAAATCTACCTCTCCCACGTAAATTTGCAAGCATGATTTGACATGATACGCTCGATCTTTTGGAAGCCATTTGATAAATTTGGTGGGAAATAATCACAAAGTTCCTTGCCATCGTCACCTCCCACCACAAAGGGGTCCCAAGTTTGGAAACTGGAAATCATAAGTTTAACTGATAAAAATATCATACGCTGTTTTCTGGGCGATTTGACAAATTTCTTATCAATAAAGATTTGGAAATGCAAAGACTGGCAAAAACCAATGATAAAAATTGACGTTTCGGTGTCATTATGACGCCATTGTCAAGGAGAAATAAAATTTTTTTTTTCTCCTTGACAATGGCGTCATGATGACACCGAAACGTCGGTTTTTATCGTTGGTTTTTGCCGGTCTTTGCATTTGACAAATTTGGTCGGAAATATCATTGCAAAGTTCCTTGCCGTCGTCACCTTCCATTACAAAGGAGTCACAAGTTTGAAAATTGGAAATTATGAGCTTAACATGATTTCGTAAAAGAAAATAAAAAAAATGCTTGGGGAACCTTGAGCCAAGAGTTCTAAGGATTCAAACAAGTTCCTGTGCAATAAGTAAAAAGTCACAAATGTCAACAAAGGCTGACTGTATCCGTTGTTTTTGTGTGTTCAGTCTCCTTGATTTTAATTTCAAATTTCAACAGTAAGAGTTCGTTTGCTTGACAAAATATTATAACAAATTCATACTTTCTTTAGTGCTCTAGGCAACTGGAAATCCATTAACGTGATCATATTTGCATATTCAGTCCTACCCATTACTTGGGAAACCGAACACAATCGAAAGCACGTAAGAGATCTGAGGTGAAGATAAAAAAAGATTTGCAAAAAGCTTTTTTTAGTTCGAATTTTTTTCTCTCGTTGACTGGAATGTGGCATATAACGAACTGTGTTCTGCATGCAATGTTCTGTTAACTATGCCCTACAACTCTGCAGACCTTCGCTTCATTTAAGTTGACCAAAACATATTTGCAGAGCGCCATAGGGTGTGGCTCTATGTGATTAAAATTTCTGCAAGACGATCTTGAATCGCATGCACTATTGTTAGATAGCTCCGATAAATCCAACGAAAAATGTCCAAGCTAAAGTTTGCCAGCAGAACACTTTCTATACTCGATCCTCAAAGCGAACATCAGAAACTAATAATCAAACGCTCGAAGCAACTTCAGTGAAAGGGAGTGGATGCTGTGAAATCCACGATAAAATAATTGAATAAAAGAGGTCAAGACAAGGTTTTAAATCACGATACATCAAGGCAAAGTTAGAAAGTCTTAAGTGTGCAAATACGGAAAAAGATTCTTACCTACGTTTTTGATCGTCCAAGCAAGCTGAAAGCACTCTTTGTACTTGCCTTCTGGGTAAAATCGATAAGTCTGCAGAATATGAGTGCTTTGTTATGTTTATCTGTTGTCTCTATAAGGGGGTGGAACCACTTTTCTGATTAGAGGGAGAATTGAGATTTTTGTGTAAAGTAAAAGAGCGAAAAAATGTTTGATTAACAGCTATAGTCTCCCAGCTGACTTAAAGTTTCAAAGGATGCTAATTAATACAACAGGAAAAGAAGGCTTGGTTTTGTCTGATTACGAAGAAGTTTTTAAAAAAAAGAAAATAACACAATACTGTTGACGATTTAATGTGAATTGTTGCTGTGGGCAGATTTCTTGATTTGAGATAAGAAACTACTGGAAGCGTCTACGATATTTAACAAATCGAGAAAACAGCGAGTGCGACATTGCTGTGAATTTTGTAAATGTTTTAATAAGGGATAGGTCTTCATCAGTTACCAGGTGCGTGTGAAAAATGCGCGTCTTAGCTAACTGAGCAGGAACTTGCAGGCCCCACACAAACCTTAATATTCTACTCAAGCTCGGAGTCTCTTAAGGATATGATCTTTCACAACAAACATGTTATTAATTTAGAGGCTGATAGTTTCGAAATAAACTGTCTGGGGCTGCGTCGGTGGGGGTAACGAAATAATTTTGATATATCAACAAAGCTGAAATGGTAATTTGGCCACCGTAACGATTACAAAAGCTGACGTTTCGAGCGTTAGCCCTTCGTCGGATGAAAATATATGCTTTGTGTCAAAGCTGCTCCTGTCCGCAACTATTGCTGGCCACTTTCAGTTGAATTCCCCTTTTTTTCTTCTCATAAATTGAAATATATAAATCATATTCCAACTTGTGACGATAACAAAGAACGAAATGATGTTCACAGGTAAATTGCAATCGGATAAATTGAAAAAAAGACGAGGTTCGAACTTGTGCGTCCCAGATACATGTTGGGCACTTCTACTAACCAGTGAGCCTCGTATGACAACAAATGTTGAGCCGTTTTTGTCAGGCCTCTTTAAAAGCAATTTTACTGAATGAAAACACCTAAAAGTGAAAACTTAAAATATAGTAACTGGGCTAGTTAAAATTTAACAATTAAGCATAGATACATTAATTTCGTTTAGACGAGTGGAAGTTGACCTTTCATGTTTACCAGATGTAAATATGACTCCATGTACTGACTTTATTCTAACAACTCTTGATTCACCAGGACAAATAAATTTACAGCTGAAATAAACAAAAACTTGCAAAATTTAAACCAAGAATCGAATATATACAGCGCATTAACTTTTGACCCTTGAGACTGACAAGTATCTTGTTTCTCCTTACAAAACCATCCCTGGTCACCAACTAAAGAAGCTCTTTATTGTCAAACAAATTCACCTTGTCGGCACTTTAGTAATTGTATATGAAGCGAAATGAGTGAAACAAGCAGAATTCACGAAAAAGGAAGCAACTACTCTCCAAATCTGTATGATACTGCGGATACAAGCATGACCTGATTAACAATACGAATTATAACGATTTTATAAATATATATATATATTTTTTTTATAGTGAAGAATAAGCCAAACGAAGTTACGAAATGGACAATACACTGTTAAGTAATACGACGCCGAGAAAATATTTAGGACGAAATGCAGAATATGGATGGAAAACTTGTCAGCCGAAAAGACAAAGACAAAATTATTCCGAAGGAAAAAAGCTGTGATAATGACAATATCTACATTGATAACGGAAACCAAGGTGAAGGAAAAAATTTAATGCTCCCTGCTACACCGGACAATGGAAAAGATTGTCAGACAGCGCGATTCAGGCCACGTCCAAACCTATCGATCCATTTTTGTTGGCGAAACGACGATTTTCGGTTCAACCAAGACGTAGTTATCCCGGAGGGGGGAGGGGGGAGGGGGGAGAGGGGGAATGGAAACGACCTTAAAGAAGTATAGTCATGGTTTGGGCTCTTTAAAACAAGTAGTGTAAAGCGTTTGAGTTCATGATTTGCAATCTGAGTCAATCATTTCCTTTCCTAATCATCCTTGTTGTTTCTTAGTTTATCGTCCATCCATCTCACCAAACTAATAATTTGTAGTCCCTTCGGGTGATAGTTGCTTTGCACAGGTGCTTCGGTCATTCTACCTTTCTTGGACATTCACTGGAAGACCTAATTTAAATTCGAGTTCTATTTGTCCATCTAAGATCGCCTAAACGAGCCTTTTACTGTTATTTATTAAAATGACACTTCGGTAAATTCTCCGTTTTTTGACGAAGAAAAAAAAAAAACAAAAAAGTGAAACACATGCAACGTACAACTCAGTACCTGTCGCATATTACTCGGACGACAGAGGGCTCTTTAAAGTATTTATCCAATTAGACGAATGGATAATTGATTTTCGTTTAACATGTCTCCGAAATTGGTATGCACGGTTTTGGAAGACGTGGTAACCATTTTTTTGATGCCACAGGCTGATGGCACGGAACCGGGGAATCCGCACGGAGAATTTTCTTATTTAAGATGCGTGTGTCAGTTATTGTGGAGTCCTCATTCCTCGTAACTAATGTACAAGATGATCTTTTAGCTGGTGATTCTTCGTTTTTAATCCTTTACACTTTAAACATAAGTAGGCTTATTGGCATATTTTCCATTCTGTTCTCTATACATTTCTTAAGGTGCTGACAAGGGAACTTATTTGCTTAACTATCAAAAAATACAAAATATTTCAAATATCAAAATTTCCTGACACACTTTCGTTCTTCATTATCCCTAGGATGTTTTGGCGAAAATTCACAAAAATCAGTCAAATCTACATGCCCCACAAATTCGCTCAAAGTGCATGTTTTCCTCTTAAAATCAAATGCAAGGTTTTGGCTCCTAAAGAGTTGTAAACAACTTGCGCCCCATCAGGAGATTATCTCGCCTCTTGAAACCGCAAACAAATGAGACTACGGATCCTCCTAGCCAAAGTAACGATGGATTAAGATTTCACGGGAAAAGTAGCGCATTGCAAACTCGTTTTTTTTATATCTCGATCGCTCTGTGGAGGGTTAAGAAGAACAATACAATATAAAAATGGAAAAACCGGATAATGTGCTGAGAAGCAAGACAACGAATCGATAGACAGCTTTCGAAATTACTATTCGAGGCGATTGTAAATGCTTTTGTATCAAGGCTGGGTTTGATGACTGTTACCAGTACAGTGGAGAAAATAGTTCGAAAGCACAGTAGAAATCACGACTGACATAATTAAATGTCTTAAATGCGATAGGTAATCAAAATTACAAATGAAAACAAAAAGAAATGTAACACTAGCCTAATTAACAATAAAGCAATCATAAATTGAACTGAAAGCGAGAAATAAACCAATGTACAGACCAAAAAGGAAAATTTCTTAAATATAAAACGAAGAACAACTTACATTGGTCTAGCTCCTATCGATAGTAGGTAACTCTCGCATGGGATAGCAGATGATTCGTAAATAGCAGACAAAAATTTAGTAGTAGTAACAGCAGCTAATAGTAATGAAGTATGAAATACAATATCAAGTGCATGTGCTTAAATGAAACTGACTGAAATACGAAACTTAATTATTGTGAAAGTGTACTGTGATCGTCCGGGTGAGTGTAGTCTTCAGAAGGATTGTTGGTGGTGGTGGTGACTGACGTTTCGACAACCTGTGTGGAAGTCATCACCAGAGTCAAGTGAATAGTTGTTTTCAGTAGTATGGTGTTAGATTTCTACGACCTTCCACGTGTGAATTTTGTATGTAAACAAAATGTAAACAAAATATGCAAATAATATGAAGAAGAGCGATTGCCGCAAAAATTCCCCTTAGGAGGCTCGCTCAGGTACAAGATTATGACATCATCCAGTTCCTGATTTATTAACTTTTATTTGTTTATACGGCATTCGTGTCGAGTTTCGATCATATCAATGGCGATCGAGTAAAGATTGGAACCAATCAGTCTCGCTCTGACACGTTGAAGTTTGTCAACCGACGTTTTTATTACGATCGAGTTATCAAGGTAAATTTGAGCTTAGGGAATTAATGGCAAATTAGATCGGGTCAACGGGTAGTTCGAGTTAGGGTCAAATCAAAGGAAGACCAGTATGTAATGCAGTCGAGACGAAACGTTTCAAAGGTCTGCACGTGATCCGTGAGGAAATCGTTGAAACATGATAGCGGAGATTGGCAAAAATTTCTGATTAATCTTTCAACTCTAATCATTACTATTGTTTCTAATAGACGTTGATGAAGTTTTATTAACTAAGAAATGTTACATGCTTTAGCTTATGGATTTTTATCGTTACTCAGCCGTTAGCTAGTCAAGGGTAGATCCTATTATTGCCAAGCTAGAGTTTTTTATGTTGTTATTAGTGTTTTTGTTTTGAAGCATACTTTGGAGGAGATACGGTGCAAATATATTGAGACAAAAAATTGAGACAAATCGTGAAAAA